AAAAGGTTGGCACAGGTGGGTACATCGCTGGACCCTGGGACAGGTGAATGTGTTTAATAAAAGTCAGCAGCTACAGTTTTTCTGGCTGCTGACTTTTAATAAACACAAAAGTAACTGGAACTCTGCTTTAATGTTTTCATGTTAAGTACAAAAATCCTATCCTACCAGTGTTAGATGTCTAACAATTCACATCTAGACGGGGTTTGAAGAAGCACCACTAAGGGTGCAAACCCATGCAAGGAAAAAAGTCTCCCATGCGGTGAGGAGTGTGGAACCATTACTGAGAAAAGGCTCCCACCAGAGTAGGAAGAGGAGTTCCAGGGTACAGGGAATGCAAACAAAACAGGGAAGATGCAGAAGGAAGTTCATTACTACTAGAAGGGTGAAGAGCTGAAACTCTAGAACTGAAAGAGGTGACTGACTCAAGGGTCTAAGCTGGCAGCTACGGGGGAGACAAGGGTACATCCAGCAGGATGAACAAACAACTACCCACTTTTAGAAGTGGGGGAACACCTTCATGCAGAAAGGATGCTCGTCACAGGCTATCACAGCTTAAAACACAGAGCTCCATAAATTTGCTGAAACGAGGCTTAACCCTAGCGATGGAAAGGTCCTTGTCAAAGAAGAAAAGCTCTGTCAGTTTCTCTGGAGGAGACCAGGATCCCACAGGGTGATTCCAGTCCTGTCCTTATAAGAGAAATGACTTAAACAATAGGTATAATGGAAAGGTCTTTGCAGCAATGGGAGCTCTAAAAGACTCAATGTCTGAAACAGCATGCTGATTCTGTGACTGTAGTATAGTATGTATCGCATCAATCCGGTTAGAAACAACCCCTCAAGTCATCTGCAGGTGACTCAAAAACAGCCTCTCCAGGAGTAGACTCTAAGGACTCTGCATCTGAATCAGAGATGTTAACAGGATCCTCACAAGCATATGCCTTCAGCTGGAAGCCCAGAAGGGTCATATCTAAGGCTCTGCCAGGGATGGCACCAAAGCTTAGTAAATGGGCACAAACAAAAAGCCCAAAGTGGACACCAATCAACCAACCTCTGTGGACATGAGGGGAAGCTTTGGCCTCACCTGTCAAAGGTAAAGGATCCTCCGAGTAAGATAACTCTATAATAAAAGGAGTTCCGTGTTCTGAAATACAGGACTGAAAGAAAGTTCAAGTCGCATGGTGGCAAAGAGGAACACAAAGGGGACATCACATGGTGGACCCCTTGGATGAAGGTGTGCATGGCCAAGGGTCATTGAAAGAAGATCGCCAGGGCAGAAACCTGGCCTTTAATGGTACTCAAGGCAAGCTTTTGTTCAGTGCCCTGTTGGAGAAAAGCCAAAACTCGAATCACTAAGAAGGAGCGTGGATGGGCACCAAGAGACTTGCACCTGGAAGGTGCTATAAGCCTTCCAGGTGCAATGATAAATCTTCCAAAAGGTAGACTTGCATGCCTTCAATACTGTAGGAATTACCGAGCCCAACAACTCTTTATCTCTCAGATCCTGGCTTTCAATAGCCACGCCATCAAAGCAGGGTGGCAAACCCGGTTATTGAGGCAGGAGGTCCTTCGAAGGGGCAGCTGCCAGGGAGCGTCCATGATCAGTCCTACCTCTTTGGTGCACCAAGGACGACAAGGCCAGTCCAGAGACACCAGGACAAAACAACTCAAGGACCGCTTACAGTGCTTCCAATGGAATAGAAGACCCTAAGGAGCCAGTCACCTTCATGAGGGTATCGGGAAGGGGGATTAGAGGCGCAAGCCGAAGACTTTATAGAAGAGAGCTTAGCAAAAGTAAATACACCCCAGAAGGACCCACCTTCACCCAAACATCATGATGAGATCTGTCCACACTGTCCAGAAGAGGCCGTATGTAAAAGCACACTTGAAGGTCTTGAGGCCAAGAGATGACCCCCAAAACACAGGAGAGAAACATCAGGCATGAAGTAAAATAGATGCTGTCATGTGATCCCCTGTTTAGCTCCCAGGCCGCCCATGTGCTCATTCAGGTCCACAGAATAGAACCAATCAAAAATGTCCACCCCACCAGTCCTTCAGAAAAAATGGTGACTGTGACACAGGGAAGATGGCTGATGGCCAATCTTACCGAAATGGCCATTGCAGCTCTGGGAAAATAGCTGAGCCAGAGCCACATGGTGGCTGTAGTGGCCACAGTACAGAACCACCAACTTCCACAGGAACAAACCCTCACTAGAGCCCAGGAAGACCCCCATCCGCACACACAGGGCCGCACACACTACAGGGCATAGACAGCAGACTGGATCACTGTAAAGGGAAGGTCTGGAGAAGAAAAAAGGAGAGAGGGAGGTGGGAAGAAAAACTCTGTCCAGGAGGAATTGGCAGGGTAGACCCAAATCCTGAATGTGGGATGAGGGGACCCCTGCAGGGCTGACCACCTGCAACCCACACCACTTGTGGGAAGGGGAGGGGGTGTCATCTACCTACCAATCCAGTAGAGCTTGCAGGTGATGCTCTTGAAACAGATTCTCCTCTCCACAAAAGTAGGGGGCTGTTGGCCAGGGTAATACTGTGACACGGACAGCAGGCACCTGGTCTCGTGTTCCCACAAGATGTTTAATTCGCTAGACTTCCCAATCCTGATGTGGCTGTTGCCGCCGATGCAGCACGTAGATAAAAATCTGCGTGCACTTGGTGGCCAGACCTGGGTAGCTACTAGATCTAAATTATCCAGCCTGTCGCCCAGCCCAGATGTTGATTGAAGATCTCCGCTGGAAAAATTTCCAGAGAAAGAAATAGCAAGAAATTCCCAGAAAAGGAAAAAGGAAAAAAGGCTTTGGAACCACTGATCAGGAAACTTAGTGCTTTCTCCTTAACAGTAGACAGAAATAACTGGCTAGCCTATAGCACAGAAAGTTTTATACTAGCTAGGACTGCCCATAGGCGGTGTTGTGTTCTTTTCTGCCTAGTATCCTACTCCTGTAGGTGGTGCTATAAAAACCTATGGTCAAGGATAGAAGAACTGTGTCCGTCAAAGAACACAAGAGAAAAATCTTTTTGGGAGAAAACTTTATTATGTAGCCCGTAGTCACTAGTCAGGGATGTCACCACACCCTGTGAAATAAAAATTCAGCAACCCATTGATTGCAGCCAGGTTATGGGTAGATCGCATCCCTGCCTTGACAACCCTTCACTGCTTCTGTACTTGAAGAGCAGCACAGGGAAGCAACATGCTTAGTGTACTGCACTGATCTCCGCTAAACCCCTCTCCTGTTCATCCCAGGCACTTATGTGTGACACATGGAATGGACGATCAGCGTGCCAGAAAAAGCAAACAGCAGTGATGCTTCTCTGCTATGCATATGAGGAAAATCTCTTCCCCACTGACCTAAATACTGCCCTGCTTTCTTCATGCTGTCCTTATTTTTTCATTCAGGTAGATCTCTACCTCTAAAAGGTTGCCTACCTCTGCTGTATATAAACAAGCTTCTAACAGCTGCAGTGTGGAGAAAGCCACACTTCAAGGCAGGATTTTTGTTTTCCCCGTAGGAAAAAAAAGGGAAAAGGTAGCTTGTCATCACATTCACAAACAGCAAGACTCAAACTTACCATCATTAGGCACTCCTTGCAATTCAACAACTGTAGTTTTTGGCTTCTTTTTTGGTGGCTGACCTCCATCTGAGGAAGCCTGACGCTTCTTTTCTGTTCCTGCTCCATCTTCACTCAGTGACATTTGAACAGTGTCTGGGGGAGGCCCATAAGGGTTTTTCCTCAGGGTCCTCTACCTCGGGTGCAATAGGAAGATACAGCAGTGCCTTAGCATCTTCCAGTTCCTCGTCACTGCAAGGATGAAAATACACATTTTTTTGCAGTATTTCAACTCATGGATCAGAAATTGTAAAAAACAGATAGTTATATGTATCAATTTGGTGAAACTACATAATGAAAAAGAAAATAACTATATATGCATACGAAACAACTGCAGCAAAAATACAAGTTACTATATCAAAACGATTGTTGTACTCACCGTAAAATCTTTTTCTAAGAGTGCAAGGAGAGATACAGGATTGTAGAACAGTCTGATATATGGGGTATATTACTGCCTTCAGGAGGTTTGGACACTAGCAAAACTAAAACCATTAAGTCAGCCCATGTATAATCCCACCTCCAACCATCAATCCTCAATTTAGGTAAGTAACAGGTTTGTAGTTTAAAAACATCCAATGTTTACAATCACTGTAAGGGCTCTGTGCATGGAATATCTCATGTTGTCCATTCACGTATTGATTTTCAGTCAAGAATATTCGTACGAAAAGTCTTTGTACATTCGATGAGTGGTTGAATGTCGTTTGAAAATTTAATTTTCTTTTAACATTCAATTTTAAAATGAATGTAGTTTCTGAATGAAAACCACATACAATGTCCGAAATGTTATTTGATCGAGAAAAGTTTTCTATTCTGCCCCTTCGAATTTTCCCATCACTGTGGTTGAAAAATGTGTTTGTGTATGGCCAGCATAAGTGAGCAGCAGCAGCAGGACAAGGGAGTCTGTCATGCATAATAAAATATATCATAGTCCTGTCTGAAAATCTGCAAAACAGCCTTTTAGGTCTTTTAACCACTTGCCCTCCTGAAGATTTACCCCCCCCCCCCCTTCTGACCAAGCCATTTTTTGCATTAAGGCGCTGCGTTACTTTAACTGACAATTGCATGGTCATGCAACGCTGCACCCAAAGGAAATTTTTTTTTTCCTGCGAATTGAGCTTTCTTTCGGTGGTATTTGATCGCCTGTGCAGTTTTTTATTTTTTTGCACTATAAAAATGTTGATAGAAAAAAAAAAACAATATTTTTGACTTTGTTATTAAACATGTCCAGTAAAAAAAAAAAAAATGTAAAAATCTAATTTCGTCATAAATTTAGGCCAAAATGTATTCTGCTACGTCTTTGCGAAAATAAAAAAAAAAAAAATCCCAATACATGTAAATTAATTGGTTTACGGGAAATTTACAGAAATTATGGCGATCAGCGACTTATAGCGGGACTGCAGGGCTGCGGCGGGCATCTGACTTGGTGTCACTGACATCCCCAGTGACACCAATACAGTGATCACTGCTAACGAAAAGCATTGACACTGTACTAATGGCACTGGGCAGGAAGGGGGTAACATGAGGGGCGGTGAAAGGGTTAACTGTGTGTTGGGAGTGTTTTACTCGGGGGGGCGGTGTGTTGGTGCTTCACTGGAAGCACACTGCTCTGGATGGCTGTGCTGTGCACAGCCATCCCGAGCAGTCTTCCCTAGCCAACAGGGAGGAGGACTGTTAGTAAACAAAGCAGCCCTGCTCCCCATCGGAGATCTTCGGTAATGACCGGCGCGCGGGTAGGGCACTGACGTGCGTCCCCTGCCAGGGAATACAAAATTATATATATTATATATGCAATTTTGCGCACCCCTGCTGCCCTATAGCAGTATATCTGCTATAGGACGGTCGGGAAGTGGTTAAAATGCTTTTTTTTCTTTAACCCTTTCAGCCTTGGAGGGTTCTCTCCCCTTCCTGACTAGGCCATTTTATGCATTCTGGCATGGCTGTATTTCAGCTGGTAATTGCGTGGTCATTCAATGCTGTACCCAAAAGAAATGTACAGTGCTCAGCATAAATGAGAACACCCCTTTTGGAACAGGAAGATTTTAATTAATATCTCAATGAACACAAGAACAATTTCCAAATTTTTTACAAAACTGTAGGACAGTACCAAGTCTTCTAGGCATGGAATGAACAAGTTGGCGACATGTTGCTACCTCTATCTTTTTTCATTCTTCCGGAACGACCTCTTTTAGAGCCTGGATGCAGGATGGAGAGTGATGCTCAACTTGTCTCTTCAGAATTCCCCATAGGTGTTCGATTGGGTTCAGATCAGAAGACATACTTGGACACTGAATCACTTTCACCCTGTTCTTCCTCAGAAATGCAACAGTGGCCTTAGATGTGTATTTTGGATCATTGTCATTTTGAAAAACTGCACGACGACCAAGGGCAATGAGTAATGGTAGCATCTTCTCTTTCAATATAGAACAGTACATCTGTAAATTCATAATATCATCAATGAAATGCAGCTCTACGACACGAGCAGCACTTCTGCAGTCCCACAGAAGTACATTGCCACCACCATGTTTCACTATAGGCATCATGCATTTTTTTTGTACTCATCTTTGTGATGCCACACAGTTTTGAAGCAATAAGTTCCAAAACATTTATCTTGGTATCATCACTCCAGAGTACAAAGTCCCAGTAGTCATCATCTTTTCAGCATGAGTCCTGGCAGATTCTAGGTGGGCTTTTTTGTGCATGGGCTTTTAGGAGAGGCTTCCTTCATGGAGGATACCCATGCATGCCATTCCTCTGCAGTGTACGCCGTATTGTGTCACAGGAAACAATTACCCCAATTTGGTTTTCTACTTCTTTAGCTAACTGCAGTGAACTGGTATGGCGATTCAACCCTTCTCATCAGAAAACGCTCCTGTCAAGGTGTTAACTTCTGTGGACAGCCTGGATGTCTCTGAGATGATTGCAGTTCCATCTTTGTTAAATTTTTTGTATCACTTTTGCTACAGTATTCTGACTGATGAGTAAAGTTTTGCTGATTTTCTTGTAGCCTTCACCTTTCTTGTGTAAAGAAATTATTTTCTCTCAGGCTTTGTGACATTTCTCTTGCATGTGGTGCCATTGCTGAAAGTATGAAATGAGAAGGGGTTTTCTTTGTTAAGTAACTCCCTTTTATAATCAACTGTCTGCTGGACACCTGTTTAATGAATAATTAGACTCACTTGTAATCAAATCTTGTTTGCTATCAATGGCCCGCATTTTTGGGAGTATTTTGTAGTATAGTGCCCCATAGAAAATGTTGATTCTGGAAGGAAAGTAAAGGTTTTTGGACAAATTTGTTGGGATGTACTCATTTATGTTGAGAACTGTATGTTCTTTTTTCCTCACATAAATAGAGCTTTTTTTTGGTGGTATTTGATCACCACTAGGTTTTTCATTTTTTGTGATATAAACGAAAAAAAGACCAAAAATTGGGGAAAAAAAACAGATATGTTCTACTTTCTACTATAAAAATCCAATAAACTCAAATGTAGTCATAAATTTAGTCTTTGGTTAAAAAAAAAATCCAATACATGTATAATAATTGGTTTGTGTGGAAGTTATAGTGTCTACAAACTATGGTATATATATTAGAGTTTATGCAGCTTATATTTTCTGACGGCCTATCACATTTCTTAAGGTGGTAAAATGCCAGGGCAGTACAAAAAAAAAAAAAAAAAAAAACCCAAATGACCCCTTTGTAGACTCCCCAAGGAATTTGCGGAGAGGCATGCTGAGTCCATGGAAGATTTTATTTTTTGCCACAAATTTTTGAAAGAAAGACAAAAAAAAAAAAGTTCACTTGATGATATATTGCTCACACATGCCATGGGAATATGTGGAATAACACCCCAAAACACATTCTGCTACTTCTCTCGAGTATGGGGGTACCCATGTGATAGACTTTTTGGCAGCCTAACCACATATGAACACCTTTAGGCTTTCAAAGGGCACATTCCCTTATGTCACTTCTTCACTCTCTATCACGGTTTTGGAGGCCCTGAAATGCTAGGATAGTACAAACACCCCCCACCCCTTTTTGGAAAGCAGACACCCCAAGGAATTAGCTAAGAAGCATGGTATTTTGCAGATATCATTTAAGTCACAGGGTTTTGAAAAGAAAAAATTTAAAAGACAAAATGCGTTTTTCGGGTTCTTTCTTAATGTTCCAAAAACGTGTAGCAACAAATGAGATCTGAAAAATACTCATGCCCATTAGCAAATACCTTGGAGTGTCTACTTTCTAAAAAAAGGGTCATTTGGTCAAAATGTACATAGCTTGTAACCATTGTGTGGGTGTGCACAATGCTAAAGCATGTCATGACTGGTATCTATTTACTCGGTACAACATCATCTTTTATATCGTATCAAACAATTGGGCAATATATTGTGTTTCAGTGCATTAAAGTTAAAAAAAGTGTATTTTTTCCAAAATATTTGCTTTTGAAAAATCGCTGCACAAATACTGTGTGATATATCAATTTTGAGCAGCCACGGTTTTATTCTTTAGGGCCTTTGCTTTAAACAAATTTCAATGGGCTGCTCTATACACTAGAAATTCAGAAATAAAGTCCCTTTTGCAGAGCTGCCTATTCGGTTATATAGATGATGATAGTTTCCTAAAATTCACTAAACTTGCATTTAGTACTTTTCTAAGCCAAGAAATTGATAGCAATGCATTGGAAATCGCATATCCCTCGTACATTAACTGGTTGACTTTATCTAGTCAATCAGGCAATCCCCTTGTATAAGAAAATGGTACAAAATATAGTAAGCGCTCTCAGTAATTTAGCAGCTGAACATTCAAGGAAAACGCATAAAAAGTCCCAAAATTATAATGTATACAAAATGCAGCGCTGTTAGTAAATCATGAATGATATTAATAAAACACAGTCCAATAAAAGGTGCTCCTTGATTCCCAGTGCAAATGATAGGAACGCGCACTAACCAGAAAGCGTATAAGTAATACGCATGTGAATATATATCCTGAAGATTCCCCTCTCCTTTCTGGTCATGGAAATAGCTGGGAAAGATGGAGATCAGGCGCCCTCATGTGGTAAATGAGTGGTCCAGCAGGTCAAAGAAGAATCAATCAAGATAAACCTCCCCCTCTCAGGAGCTGACACAGGGATCACTCGGGGCTGTGGAGGTTGAAGAAGCTCCTTGTGTTTTGCCTAAGATGATAGGCAAAAACCACTTGTTGTCCTCATAGGACTGATGTAACCATATTCCTCCTTTTGTAAAATTCCTCCAGATATAAAATGGACCATTGTAATAATGTATTATTCCACCTGGGGTCTCTCCAATCTATCAGTATACTGTATAGAGGAAATAGATGGATGGATCTCTCCCTTTTTCCTCCAGGGGTCTCCATCCATCCATCTATTTCCTCTATACAGTATAACCCAGTTCAAGCAAAAAAAAGAAAAGTTATAATCCTATACCCACAATTGATCCAGAGGAAGGCAAAAAAACTCAGGAAAGCATGATCCAATTTGCTCCTGCAGGGATAAAATTCCTCCCTGATCCCTCAAGAGGATATTCCCCTTAACCAACTTTACCTATAAATGTTAGTATCCAGTTATATTCTGTGCATCTAGGAGAGATAAAGCAATCCACTGAGCTGTCCAGAACAAACTCTTGAGGGAGTCTATTCCACATTTTCACAGCTCTTACTGTGAAGAAACCTTTCAGTATTTGGAGATTAAATCTCTTTTTCTTCAGATGTAAAGAGTGCCCCCTTGTCCTCTGTGATGACCTGAGGGTGAATAACTCTACACCAAGTTCACTATATGAACCACTGATGTATTTATACATGTTGATCATATCCCCCCTTAATCTCTTCTCCTCAAGAGAGAATAAATTCAGTTCCTCTAATCTTTCCTCATAGCTAAGCTCCTCCATGTCTCTTATCAGTTTGGTTGCCCTTCTCTGCACTTTCTCCAGTTCCCCAATGTTCTTTTTATGAATTGGTGCCCCAAAACTGAACTGCATATTCCAGATGAGGTGTTACTAACTTTACTTTTAAGGGCCCTAGGAGGATTCTGAGGTAAAGTGTGTGACCTGTGGTGTGATGTAACACCTGGTCATCTACCTGAGATTAAGCTCTGAGGGGTTGAATTTTAGTTCCAAGTTTGAAAAGTTTACACTGCGAGGTGCATATATTTAACTGCTTCCCAACCGCGCTATAGCCGAAAGACGGCTACAGCACAGTTGTCCAGTTCTCGGAGGGCGTTCATGGACGTCTTCCCAGCACGAGCCCCCAGCACGCCCCCTAGCAGCGCGCACCTGGCGCTTACAGTGATCGCTGTGTCCTACGGACACAGCTGATAATGTGATGAGGTAAAAGGTCAATCACAGTGGCCTTTTACCACGTGATCAGCTGTGTCCAATGACACAGCAGATCACAAAGTAGATACAGTTGCCGGTTATTGGCAGCTATCACAGCGTGAGGAAAGTACTGCCGATAACCGGAAAATGTGACAAGGGAGATCTGCACTGATAATCGAAGCACTGATTATCAGTGCCCCGATTACACTGTTCAACAGGTAAAAGGTTTTGGGCATAAAATTAGCTAATCTTACATAATTTTGGGGTGCGGGAAAACGAAAATGACCCTAAAAAATGTTGATTGGCTCTAGTTTCCACATGATATATTCACCCATCTAATGACGTAAGCCATTCAAAATTATGATGCAACTTCAGCTGCATATTGCGCAATTGATACTGGTGACCAATAGAAAATTGCATGTATACTGAGATGATGCAATATTAGCCTTTAATTGCATCACTTCACTGCATAAAAGCTGCAGTATCTGTAGCTGATTGTAGTTCGACAGCGTCTTTACATTTCCTTTTATGCTTATATAGGCTACTCAGTAATGCCTCGAACTTGTGTGAATAAAGCAGATAATTTCTGCTATATCTGCGGTGAAATAACTTTTATCTCACAAAAAAGGAGGATAACAGGAATGATTAAGAAAGCCTACAACTTGTATTTTGGCTACAAGATAGGAGACCAGGACAAGAGCTGGGCACCACATATATGCTGCAATTCTTCTGGGACGGCACTGGAGCAATGGTTGAATGGAAAAAAGGCATCTATGCCTTTCGCTGTGCCAATGATTTGGAGAGAGCCAACAGATCATGTTAGTAATTGTTACTTTTGTATGGTGCCTCCAATTGTAAAAGGGCTAAATAAGAAGAAAAAGTTATCTGTGCACTATCCAAATATTCCATCGGCAATACGTCCAGTTCCTCATGGAGAGGGGCTACCAATTCCTAAAGCACCAGAGATAGCCCTTTCCTCGAATACAAGAGAAAAGCCAAGAGAAGCAAAACCGACACAAACTGAAGACAAAACTAGTGAGAATCCTAAGTATTAAAATGATTCAACTTAGCTTATGGCTATAATTTTTCTTGGTAATCCTATGCAATATATTATGCCATTTAGGCTTTGTTATGTTGTCAATATCACTTGCTTTATATTTGTGGAAAGACATCTATCTATATAATTATTGTGCATTATGTAGTCATTACGCCTATAGTAGAAAACTTTCCGTTTACAGAAAAACTAGAACCAATTGACAAATTTCATTGTTATATTTGAACTCAGAATGTGAAATTCATTAAGAAATGGATCCTTTTGTTTCCAAAACTGGCAAAAAATAAAAATTTGTTGAACAGTGTTATCAGTGTCACCCAGCAGTGCCCAGCAGTGTCGCCGGTCAGTGCTTGCAGTCAGTGCCGCCTATCAGTGCCCATCAGTACCCATCATTGCTGCATATCAGTGCAGCATCATCAGTGCCTCATCAGTGCTGCCTCATCAGTGCCCATCAGTCCTCCCTATCAGTGCTGCCTCTCAGTACAGCTTCATCAATGCACATCAGTGAAGGAGAAAAATTACCTATTTGCAAAATTTTATAATAGAAACCTTTTTTTTTTTTTTTTTTTTGCTCTTTTATTGTTTATAGTGCAAAAAATAAAAAATCCCAGTGACGATTAAATACCACCAAAAGAAAACGCTATTTGTGTGAAAAAAATTATAAAAATTTCATATGGGTAGAGTGTTGCATGACCGCTCAATTGTCATTCAAAGTGCAAAATTGGCCTGGGCAGGAAGGGGGTGGAAGTGCCCAGTAGGTAAGTGGTTAAACATAGCTCCGTTTTTGCAGTAACGGTCAAAGCTACAGGGTAGCCCTGTGTTACCTGTCCACGATGCTTGACTGTATAAAAAGTCAAGGCTTCTCCTGTCAAGGTCGGCATACCCCTGAAGGAGTCTTCAGGGACTGGGTTCCACAGTGAGTCAGCTACCTGTGGCTGACTCAACATGTTGTACCAAGTGCCAAGGTCTGCACCTATTCAGGAATCCTGAAGCAATATTACAGGCTGTCCCCCATGGTGTGGGTTCCAGATATGGTTCCCAGGTTTTACTGAGGTTGCGCCCATCCGGATACATTACTTCTATGTTGGCATTAGAAGACAGTGAGGGCTTGGTGGAGAAATTCAAATATAAAATAATGAAGAAAAATAATAAACTAGGTGTAAGCCAAGGATGATTTTCTCTGTGAATTAGAAAAGGTCCATCACCTTCAGACACTAGCACAAAACTGAGGACCCATGGGAGTGGGGTAGGGTTATTGAGGAGGCGCCCATGGGGCATGTCCTTTAAAAACTTTGCCGGTGTCTAATCACCTGAAGGTATGCGTCTATAACCCATGGTGTATGAATACTCTGCCCGTCCTGTACTTTATGCTTAAGATATAGGGAAGCGTGTAGGCGCCCTTAGTATTTCTTAAATCAAGTTACTGTAGAAAGGTATTTGCTTTGCAATAGATAAAAGAATGTGTGGAATATTACCAATGACATACCTGCTGCAAAAAGCAGCAATTCGGTCAACGCTGGTCACATCTACCTCCTCATCCTCAGCAGCATCTCCTCCTAAGCATTAGGAAAATGACTGTTACAACAACTTACAATGCACAAGAAAGTTTTCTAAACATACTGTACATTAAATGAATTAAAATATGTAATGATAAAAAGTACAACCAAAACACATAAAAGAGACACATATTCTGGAGGATTTTGTATTCCACCCTGTCTTTCTGCGATAAGCCACTTACATAACCATTCCAAATGAAACTGGACACCGGGCATTACACAGGGCCAATGCAACAAATTAACAAAAGGATTGCACACCGCTCTAAAGAGCAGTAATTTTATTATGAACACTCTGGTACAGACTTAGACCTGAAGACACAGAAATGGTTTCAAAAGTGAGCTGAATTCAACTCAAAGAATATGTGTCCATATTGGAAGATTTCCCTGCAATTCTTGCTCTAGTGGCCACTCAAAATTTTACAGTTTCCTTCACTGTAACATGGGTCACCAGGGTGAAAAAGAAAAAGAGCAAACCTCCCTAACACGGACACAGACAGACAGACCAATAAAAACCTATAGAACGGAGAACAATGGGAAGCTTAACTCAAAATGAAAACATTGTGCAGAAAAATCTATAAAGAACTATGACCTTTTATTAAATATCAAAAAATGATATAGCTTACAAGACATAAGTAAACTTTCTAAATAACCCCCTTACTTACCTCAGGTCTTTTAAAGTTGTTGTAAAGGCTCAAGGTTTTTTACCTTCATGCATTCTAACCATGAAGGTAAAAAAAAATTCTGTGTGCACCAGCTCCCCCCCAGTACTCACCTGAACCAAATCTTGTTCCAGTGATGTGCACGAGACCCAAGGCTCACAGGGGACTCTTCCTCCTCATTGGTTGAGACAGCAGTGGGAACCTGTGGCTCCCGCTGCTGTCAAACACAGCCAGTGAGCCAATGAGGAAAGGAAGAGGGCACGGCCGAGCTGCAATTGTGTGTGTGAATCGACATGCAGAGCAGTGACTCGGGAGCGAGCCTGCTTGGGTGCCCCCACAGAAAGCTGCTTGCTCTGGGGGCACACGGCAGAAAGGAGAGTATCAGGAGCACTGACAGGGGACTCGAGAAGAGAAGGAAAGGGGCTGCTCTGTGCAAAAGCATTGCACAGGGCAGGTAAGTATAACATGTTTGTTATTTTTTTTTTTTAATTGCCTGTATTATTACTTGAACTTATGATGGATTTTTTTTTTTTAAATATTGAATACTATACATAAAATTATCTATATATAGGGATACATTACACATTTATAGCTATTATTCATGACATTCATCTATTATCTATTTGTTGTAACCATGTTATATGGTGGAAAGCAGTAGTATATTCTAGCCACTTGAAGTATTGGCATAGTCACTAATACTTTTGGATAATGAAAGTTCTTTGAATCTTTATTTAACAATTTAGCTGCTATACATTTCAATTGATTTGTTGATAATATTTTTCTTTTCAGGCAGGTCCCTGCTGTAGCAGATTTTCATTTTTCAACTTTTTTTTTTTGGTGCTGGTGGTGGGGAGAGGATGTTTGCAGGTTATGTATTTTTTACATGCTAGAACATGTTTTGATATTAAAAGTCATAGTTCTTTATATATTTAGGTATAATTTTTTTATAACCAGTTTGATCAAATTACTTTTCCAATTGTTCCCTGTTCTATTTACTGTATACAGGCTAGATTATACAGTGTATAAATATTTAGTGCAATGGAATGATATTTAATCTATTTTGGGGAGGTGCAAAAGAATATTCTACCTTGTATGAAGCAATAAAAACATTGCAGAGATACTAATACTTCTAAACTACATTCAAAGCTAAAAAAAGAAAAAAAAGGGATAATTGCCTTAAGCTACACTTTACAGTTACAGTTTATTGTCTGAGCAGGTCTCAGTTTCTGCTACAGTCAACTGTTGGTATGAAGTGCGTTTTAGCGCATCACACAGTTCCCTCTTCAATAAGTTACTTTATCTGAAATGCACAAAGTGACACTTCATTTAGGTCATTGAACAGCAGCATGGTGTGTTGCAATGCTGTGCAGTGCCATGCAATTCCTTCCTGTGCACTGCAATAAAATGGAGCATGCCTGCAATTTATCGCTGTTCACTGCATGAACCTCCGGGACGTACTACAGTGTGAACAGGACACCTAGAAAACAAATGTTTTCTGTGTGTCCTATCGGTGACCTGTGTTCACCCAGTGTGATAAAACGAAGGTCACCATAGTGCGAACAAGATCTAAGTTTTATTTAAGGAATATTAATTTCCTGTAACTCTGTGTAAACCATGTTACCATACTGCTTCTAATCTTTCAATTGCAGCAGTATTATACTAATTTTCTTGGTTTAATGTATAACAATCACCATTTATGCACATGTCACAAGATGTGTAGCATTACTAACAGCAAGTCCACTTGAAGTTTAGAGGTTAATATATCTTTTTTTTTTTTTTTACCTGTTTGCTCAGGTTCACTCTTATCTTCATCTTCTATATCAAACTCTGATTCACGTTCCTCATACTCCACATTCTCATCTAGCTCTTTGAAGTCAGGAGCAAATGCACTCCAGTTTTCCTATAGAAAGAAACAACCGAAGAGTAAATGTTACATACCAGGAAAAACGTTATCTGTTTTCTTCTCAAAAAGGGTAACTACAAAACTTACATGTGAAACTATTTGTCATAGCAATCAGAAAATATATTTCTTGCTATCAACGGTTTCCAAAAGATAAACCAAAAATAAACTATACATTGTAGCTGTACTTGGGTGACACAGCTGTATTTGTAATTACTACAGTGTAAAATTCCCATGATTGGTGTCCTAGTGACCTGACTGATTTGAAAGATTTCCACACGTTTTGTAAGGACACACTTCTACCACCTTATCAGGCAAATCACAGGTACTTCCCAAATAGAAGGGCATCCAAGGATAGGTGCATCCAACAAGGATGGTGGAAAATCTAACAATTTCTCACAAAAAAACTGAACGAAAGCAAGGTAAATTTATATATGTGCAATAGCAAATTTAACTTACAGTTTTTAGAAATGAATTCACGTTTCAGAAAACTCTAACACACGTAGTACTGTATGTTTCCCTCCATTACAAGTAAGGGGAGTACACAAACAATAGACAATAGTTTGGGCTTCATATCTTCATTGCTTTGAAAATATTTTTATAAATGGAAAATCCTATTAAAACTTGTATGCATGCAGAGTACATCAGAAGCTCTAAATGCTAATTACTTACCTCAACTGGCCCTGCACACCTGGAAAAAAAAAAAAAAAAAAAGAAATCGAGCCAACAGAGCGGATCTCAGGCTGGTAGATCTAGAGAGTGTCAAAGCCACCTCTGCCGGTGAGACATACAACACCACAACAAACTTACTAAATCTCCTACAAAGAGACTACCAGAGCACTCAAACGTAGTTCGTCAGTTTCCTTCTCTGTAGAAGAAGGATTTGGAAAAAAAAGACATGCCACTATGACCTAAGCCCTCAAACACCCAACAACTCCTTGTACAGCCAACGCTGCAAAAGGATATATAAAATACAATAGCTCCTTATGCCTGGGACGCTCCAGCTGAAAAACTGCCTTTTCAAGATAACAGAAAAACTATTTCTTGAACAGATTATAAAAAACCTATACCCCCTAAATAGGGCTTTTCCTCCGAACTCCCTAAAGTCTACAACCTTACTACAACACTGGCCAATTTATCAAACATATATAGTCATGGACAAAAATATTGGCAACCCTGCATTTCTGTCAGATAATGCACCAATTGTTGCAATTACAAATGTTTAGGCATGGTTATGTCTTTTGTTTGTATTGGTATGACACAAAAAAGTGGAGAAACAAAAAGCCAAATCTGACACACTCAAAGCAAAACCCCAAAAATGGACTGGACAAAATTACACTATCACAACAATCTGGAAAAAAAAATAACTGAAATCAATCACTTCCTGTAACCACCAGTGAATTTCTTACACCTCTCTAGCGGAATTTTGGAGCACTCTTCTTTCGCCAACTGCTCCAGGTCTCTCAGATTGGAAGGGTTCCTTTTCCCAACTGCTGTTTTGAAATCTCTCCACAGGTTCTCTACGGGATTGAGATCTGGACTCATTGCTAGCCAGTTCAGTGCTCTCCAGTGCTTTGTCTGAAACCATTTCTAGCTGCTTTTTGATGTGTGCTTTGGGTCATTGTCCTGCTGTAAGACCCATGACCTCTGACATAGACCCAACTTTGACACTGGGCCCTACACTGCACCCCTGAATTCTTTGGTAGTCTTTCAGATTGTATAATGCCATGTACACGGTCAAGACATCCAGTGCCTTAAGCAACCCCAAAACATCAGTGAACCTCCACCATGTTTGACTGTAGGGACTGTATTCTTTTCATTAAAGGCCTCATTGCTTTTCTGAAAACAGTAGAATGATGGGCTTTACCAGAAAAGCTATAGATTTTGTTTCATCTGTCCACAGCACATTCTCCCAAAAGGATTTTGCTTCCGCAGATAAGTTTTGGCAAACTCCAACGTGGCTTTTTTAGGTTTTTGTGTCAGCAGTGGGTTCCTCCTGGGCCTCCTACCAGAGTGTTTTTGCAAGGGAGAGTGGGCAAATTATGCCAAGTCAAGATGTGCCATGCTGATGGACTCATACCCAAAAAAACTGAGCGCTGTAAAAAATTCAAAAGGTGCTTCAACAAAGTACTAGTTTAAGGATGTGCACACTTATGCAACCATATTATTTTAGTTTTGTATTTTTACTTCCCTCCACCTAAAAGATTTCAGTTTGTTGTTCAACTGAGTTGTACAGTTTATACCTTACATTAAAGGTAGAATAAGCTCTGAAATTATTTATCTTTGTCTCGTTTTTTACAATCACTGAAACCTGACATTTTAACAGGGATGTGTAAACTTTTTACAACCACTGTACATTATGGACTGTTCAGTGTGAGCAGTAACTGGACCACCAATATCATATGGAATCTCCACAGCAGAGAGCTTTACAAAATGACCTAGATGTTCCTATCTCGCTGAGAGAAGCAGTGATAAGTTCCTGTCCAATTTTTAGTGAGAAAGCACAAATTTGGTTGGAGCTGCAACTAATCAAGTTACAAGTAGATTTTTAGAAAATTATGTTGGAGTTGTGTGGAATGACAACACATTTTTATTATGTCAAAACCTTTTTTTTGAAGGGACACTTATTTTTTAACAATGGAATGGCTTGATGACTAGCTCCTGAAACTCCTCCTCTCAGCAACCCTGTCATTCAGACAGCAGGCTCTGTTATATATGATGTGCCACATCACTGCATATTCACAGGGCATAGCCAATGCTTCTCACCACATTCAAGGAACTAAATGTGTGGGTCTCTTCACAAAGTAAATTTTCAAACTTAAAGATTGTTTAGACAAACAGTAGGCAAGAAATAATTGAAATTCAATGTTTAAATTAAAGTGGTTCTAAAGCCTTAAGGTTTTTTTTTACTTTAATGCACTCTATGCGGGAGCAGCTGTCAATCAAATTCTGTGACGAGGGAATAGGGGACAGGGCCGATCCGTGCTGTCTCTGTTTTTAGACTGATATCTAGATTTAGAACACAAAAATGTCCCCAGAGAAGGTGGCTTTCTATAGGGGCACTTGCCAAAGAGGAGAAGCTAAGAGCAGGACCCCAAAAAGTAGAGGATCAGGGCTGCTCTATGCAAAACCACTGCATGAAACAGCATGTCATGTTTAGTATTTTAATTGTAAAAAAATATATAAGATTTTAAATTTGACCTTAGATACTTAAAAAAATGAACCTACAATTAAGTAAATAGCAGCTTTCTGCACATAAGCAAACTTACACAATAACAGGAATATAAGCAATAAACCTACATAATACCTTCTGTAAAAGGTAAAAAAAGAGAATTTGAAGATTCACAAAACAACACTTACTACTTGATTTTGAGCCCATATAGAAACCACTCCACTGGAGATGGATGCAATTATTGGTCGAACAGGATGCCACTTATAATAGAAAAAAAAAAAGAAAAAATGTTTAGAAATAGTAGCTGCCAGATGTAATATAGAATGGTGGATTCTGCATCCCCATGTTCGCAGCGGTCAAAAGGCTTTTGCCTATTCACAGCCACATAACCAGTTAGCACTAACACACTGTATACCCAACCACCACTATGAGAATAACCAGACTTCTCTATTCTAGTGATTCGGTGACTCATCACCTCTCAAAAATGTAGAAGGCATTACTTAAAGTGCCTTCCTCTCTTTCCTACACAATACCTATAGTTACACCTTTCACTAATATTTATGCTCCAAATTATTATTGTACAGGATTTATATCGCGCCAACAATTTGCGCAGCGCTTTACAATGTGAGGGCAAACAGTACAGTTACAATACAACTGAATACAGGAGGAATCAGAGGGCAGTGATCGTTAGAGCTTACAATTTAAAAGGCGAGGGCCAAGTGATACAAAAGGTAATAACTGTGGGGGATGAGCAGATGGAGAAAATACATGTACACTTGTTAGGTGGAGGCAGGATAGGCTTCTCTGAAGAGAAAAGTTTTCAGGTATCGCCTAAAAGTGGACAGAGTAGGAGATGTTGGACATATTGGGGTAGGGAATTCCATAGGATGAGAGAGGCTCAGGAGAAGTCATGCAGGCGAGCATGGGAGGAGGTGACAAGGGAATTAGAGAGAAGGAAGTCTTGGGAGGAATGAGGAGTGTGATTTATTTATTTCAGGTACTTAAATAGTGCCGTCAATTTACGCGGCGCTTTACATATATATTGTACATTCACATCAGTCCCTAACCCTCAAGATTTGGTTGGTATTTTGAGACTAGGTTAGTGATGTAGCTGGGGGCTGGTTTGTGGATTACTTTGTAAGTTGTTGTTAGTATTTTGAATTTAATTTGTTGGGCGAGTAGCAGCCAATGGAGGGAATGGCAGAGAGGGGTAGCAGACACTGATTGGTTGGTAAGGTGAGTGAATCTGGCAACAGCATTCATGATGGACTGGAGGGGGGATAGCCTATGTAAAAGGTAAGCCATTGATGAGGGAGTTTCAGTAGCCGAGGCGAGAAATAACCTGGGAGTGAATTAGGAGCTTTGTGGTGTCAGTGGTTAGGAAGGGGCATATTTTGGAGATGCTGTGGAGGCTGAGACGGCAAACTTTGGAAAGTGATTAGATGTGGGGCCGAAAGGAGAGTTCAGAGTCCAAGATTACACCTAGGGGACCCCAACGAAAAAAGGAAGAGGAGAGGAGGAAGAATTGTAAGTGACACTAAAAGGGTGGTGGGATAGGTAGGATGAGAACCAACGAACAGCACAGTCACGGATACCATAGGAGTAAAGTTTTTTTTTTTTTTTTTTTGAGTAGGGGGTGATCAACTGCATCAAAGGAAGCTGAGGGGTCCAGAAGTAGGAGTACAGAATAGTGTCCATTGGTTTTTGCTGTTAGTAAGCTGTTTGTGAGTTTTAGGATAGCAGTTTCTGTGGAGTGTTGAGGGTGAAATCCAGACTGAAGGGGATCAAGAAGGTTATTCTTGATGAGGTGGTCGCTGTATTGGTTATAGACCAGGCATTCTTGTTTGGAGGAAAAGGGGAGCAAGGAAATGGGGAATAGGTTAAGATTGGTGGGGTCCAAGGAAGGCTTTTTAAGTATGGGGGTGACTAGGTGCATGTTTTAGAGTGTTGGGAAAGGTGCCAGAAGAGTAGGAGAGCCTCAAGATGTGAGTTAGAGTGTAGGATAGAGCCAGAGGGTGACCGTAGTATTTGAGAGGGAATAGGGTCAAGTGGACAGGTGGTTAGGTAGGCGTTAGAAAGATATATAATATAGTAATAAATGTGAGCGCTCTAAGATAAGCAGCTGGACACTCAAGGAAACCAAATAAAAACCTTGTCATAAACATAAACTAAAAAAGTGCAGCGCCAAACAAAAATTAATATTGATAAATAATGTCACCGATAATCAAGGCATATATCAGTGACAGTCTATATCGTAAGGCAATGTGATATAATGATCCAATCCAGTGGCGGTGCTCCCAGTGATAAGGTAAGAATTTATCTGTGAAGGAAATCCGTGTTGATTTACACATTGTGTATTTGAATTACGCTTCTGGTGACTGCGTGATTCTTACCTTATCACTGGGAGCACCGTCACTGGATTGGATCATTAGATCACATTGCCTTACTATATAGACTGTCACTGATATATGCCTTGATTATCGGGGACATTATTTATCAATATTAATTTTTATTGTTTAGAGTTGGGCGTTAGAAAGAAGTTTAGCAAACTCATCTATAGTAGCAGGGTAGAATAATGGTAGTGTTGAGTGTACCTGTGGACATGGGGTGATACTAATGCATGAACCTGCAAGTGAATTACCCTTGAAAAGATAGTAGAAACTATCCTAAACGCCACAGTCCCAAAATAACCTGAATAACTCAAATTTATGATCTTACTGCTCAAATACTGTCTCTCTTCCAGCCCCATTCCAGCTCTCTCCCCCCTCCAAACTCTGTCTCCAACTCCCCCTCAGCTTTCACACACACACACACACACACAGAAATGTTTTTTACAATAGTTCCATTTCCAGAAACTTGTATAGGTGTACTACATACAGCAACATCTAGAAGTAGTTCACCACGAGTTCCATGCAGGATTTTCACCAGATTTCCAATGCTCTTTTCCCAAATGTAGAGAGCATGCTGCCGAGCAGAGCCTGCTACGATATACTCTCCTGATGGCAATTGGAACTTTTTTGAAAAATGTTGGTGGACACCCTCCTTGCATTTAAAATGGAATTCTGGGCAAAACCAAATGACATATGACATAGCCTGTTACTAGCATTAATGCAGCCATTTTTGAGTTTCCCTGTAGCAGTTTTATCACCCGTTTTCTTACCAGACAATCTATTTTTCCACCTTCAACAGGGTAATAACGCAGTAATGCTACAATAAAATCATGCGTTGTCACCCTGGAACAGAAATTTTTAGATCAACAGGTTTAAATGGGCTTTAAAAGCATTGTACACTTTCAAATGTTTTGTTTTTTAACTAGACATTAGTGTAGTTATATTCCATATGTAGTCTGTTTACGTTACCACCTGTTGTGGTTGCAGTTTCTAGTGTTATGGCCAATCAATTCCCCATGTCCATGCATTAACACACCAAATTTGTCCCTATTCTGTAAATCGACAAGCAACTTCTTGTTGCAGGTCAGAATCCATGCCTCACTATTTCCACTGTGTTGCAAATATGGGAGTACTAATGTGATGAAATGAACGATGAGCTCAAGTACTGATGTGATGAAATGAACGATGAGCTCACCATTGTTTTGCTTTCCTTGCTTTGTGTGAACTAATAATTAGCTCTCACCTGAAGAGCACTAGACCTAGAGACCCAGAAATTGGTGGATATGTAGTTTCTTCACAGGAAGTGTCAGTTTTTTACACTACAGACATAGGTCATGCATTAACCTTTGTAGTGCCATGCCACATACCTCATGTATTAGCACAAACAGAGACCTCTGAAAGTAGAATGTGTCGATCTACTCTACTATAATCTGTATAGGCCAACAAATAGCACCAGGAAATAACTTTATCAACACACATCTTACACTGGTGAAAAACACAAAGTGCAGGTAGAAAGGTTTATAATGCCTTTAAACAAAAATCTATGAAAAATTAAGTCCAACATCAGCTAACACTTTTTAACCACTTGTCCAACAGCACTATTTATAAATGGTTTAAACACACATTACAGCCAACTGCTGACTTTGTAGTGAAAGCGATTAGGGTGGTTGTTCCTTTTGGAAAGAATTCTAAATTATATGAATAAAATTCCTCCTGTAAGCGGCTGTTAAAGGCCAATTGTCTCTGATTTACTTTTGATTATGTGCCCCTTAATCATTTACAGAGAAAGCAAACTGTTGAAATCACTACTATCAGTGTTACAGTTGCAAGAAAATGTATGCGAACCCCTTTTGATTACGTAGAGTTTTGCATGAATTGGGCATAAAATGTGCTCTGAACGTCATCTAAGTCACAACAATAGAAGAACACAGTCTGCTGAACATAATACTACACAAACATTAGATGTTGCCATGGTTTAACCACATGCCGCCCAGCCACCGCATATAAACGGTGGCAGGGCGGCGCTCGTAGGCAAAAGCACGTTTTAAAACGTGTGCCTACAAAACAGGCAGGGGGCGCGCGCGAGGCACGCGCCTGCCCTACCTGTCCCGGGGTGTCAGCAGCGGGTCCCCGCCGCCGGGTCACGGCCGGTTTTTACCGGCCGTTTTCCCGCGATGAGCGGTGAACACTGAAACAGAGCAGGGCTGCATTGTTTACACACAGCCTGCTCTGTGACAGTTCGCCGCCAAGCTGCAGAGGGAGAATACAGTTTCTCTCCCTCGATCAGCTCCCCCCTCCCTCCCCCCGTTCAGTACACACCCCCGCCCCTTAGTAAAACACTCCCCTCACACAGTGAACACTAAAAATGTTAACCCCTTCCTCCCCAGTGACATTAGTACAGTTTCAGTGGTTTTTTTTTCACTGATCACTGTATTGGTGTCACTGGGGATGTCAGTGACCCCAAGTCAGCTCCCCCCCAGTGTCAAAATGTCCGCCTCAGTCCCGCCATAAGTCGCTGGTCGCCGTCATATGTCGCTGATTGCCGCTATATGTCGCTGATCGGCGCCATTATTAGTATAAATAAAAATTAAAAATCCCAGTATCTTTCCCGCCATTTGTAAACGCTATAACTTGCACGTAAACCAATTAATTTACACGTATTGGTTTTTTTTTTTACCAAAGACATGTCGCAGAATGCATTTTGGCAGAAATTTATGACTAAATTTGATTTTTGCATTTTTTTTTTACAGGACATGTTTTATAGCAAAAAGTCCAAAATATTGTTTTTTTTTCCCTCAAAATTGTCAGCCTTTTTTTTTTATAGCGCAAAAAATAAAAACCGCACAGGCGATCAAATACCACCGAAAGAAAGCTCAATTTGTGGGGAAAAAAAGGATTTAAATTTCATTTATGTACCGTATTGCATGACCGCGCAATTGTCCGTTAAACTAGCGCAGCGCTGTATAGCAGAAAAATGGCGTAAATTGCAGTATTTATACCATAGTTTGTAGACGCTATAACTTCCACACAAAGCAATCAATATACACTTATTGGGATTTTTTTTTACCAAAAACATGTAGCAGAATACATTTTGGCCTAAATTTATAACCAACTTTGAGTTTACTAAATATTTTTTATAGCTGAAAGTAAAAAATATTGTTTTTCTTCAAAATTTTTGGCCTTTTTTTGTTTATAGCGTGAAAAATAAAAAGCGCACAGGTGATCAAATACCACCGAAAGAAAGCTCTATTTGTGTGAAAAAAAGGACGTAAATTTCGTTTGGGTGCAGCATTGCATGACTGCGCAATTATCAGTTCAATTAGTGCAGCGCCGAGTAGCAAAAAGAGGCCTGGTCATTAAGGGGGGTAAATCCTCTGGAGCTCAAGTGGTTAATTGCACATAACATGTAAACATTCACAGTGCAGGGAGGAAAAAGTATGTGAGGCCTTAGCTTAATGACTTCTCCCAGAGCTAATTGGAGCTAGGAGTAAGCCAACCATGACTCCAATCAGTGTGATGATATTGGATGTGTTGCTGAGAGCTGTTCTGCCCTTAAAAAAACACACACCTGTTTTGGGTTTACTGGTTTCAAGAAGCACTGTCTGATGATTGTGAACCATGCCTCGCAGAAAAGAGCTCTCAGAAGACCTACGATCAAGAATTGCTGACTTGCATGAAGCTGGAAAGGGTTACAAAAGTATCTCCAAAAGCCTTGATGTTCATGTGTCCACGGTAAGACAGACTGTCTACAAATGGAGAAAGTTTAGCACTGTTGCTACTCTCCCTAGGCGTGGTCGTCCTGTAAAAATGACTGCAAGAGCACAGCGCAGAATGCTGCATGAGGTAAAGAAGAATCCCAGAGTGTCAGCTAAAGACCTACAGAAATCTCTGGCACATGCTAACATTTTTGTTGACACATCTACAATACGGAAAACATGAAACAAGAATGGAGTACATGGGAGGACAGCATGGAGGAAGCCATTGCTGTCCAAAAAGAATATTGCAGCACGTTTGAAGTTTGCAAAAGAGCACCTGGATGTTCCACAGCACTACTGGCAAAATATACTGTGGACAGATGAAACCAAGATTGAGTTGTTTGGGAAGAACACACAACACTATGTGTGGAGAAAAAAAGGCACAGCACACCAACATCAAAACCTCATCCCCACTGTAAAACATGGCGGAGGGAGCATCATGATTTGGGGCTGCTTTGCTGCCTCAGGGCCTGGACGGATTGTTGTCATTGATGGGAAAATTAATTCCAGAGTTTATCAAGACATTTTGCAGGAAAATGTACGACCATCTGTCCGCCAACTGAAGCTCCGCAGAGGATGGGTGATGCAACAGGACAATGACCCAAAGCATACAAGTAATTCAACAAAACAATGGCTGCAACAGCACAGAATACGCCTTCTGGAGTGGCCCAGTCAGAGTCCTGACCTCAACCCCATTGAAATGCTGTGGCATGACCTTAAAAGAGCGATTCACACCAGACATCCCAAGAATATTGCTACACTGAAACAGTTTTGTGAAGAGGAGCGTTCCAAAATTACTCCAGATCGTTGTGCAAGTCTAATCTGCAACTACAGGAAACGTTTGGTTGAGGTTATTGCTGCCAAAGGAGGGTCAACCAGTTATTAAGTCCAAAGGTTCACATACTTTTTCCTCCCTGCACTGTGAATATTTACATGTTATGTGCAATTAAACCATGGCAACATCTAATGTTTGTGTAGTATTATGTTCAGCAGACTGTGTTCTTCTATTGTTGTGACTTAGATGACGTTCAGAGCACATTTTATGCCCAATTCATGCAAAACTCCATGTAACCCCAAGGGGTTCACATACTTTTTCTTGCAACTGTATATGGTTGTCCCAACCCCCTTCTAACTTTTACAGGACAGCTTGACCTGATTAGAGAACAGAAAAAAAAGTTCCACTTGTCTACCAGGACAAATTTTTAATTTGTTGTACACCTATTAAAATCTGCATTTTGTGCTACAAATTACTTTAAATTCCCAAACAATTATATTTTTTTTTTTCAAAAGCAGAGACCCTAGAGAGTAAAATAGCAGCAGTTGCAATTTTCTACTTCACAGTGAAACAGCTATTTATCAAACGCATATTTTCAGGAAAAATACACTAAAATGCAAGTACAAACTAAAATGTTATACCCATTATTTTGGTAATATATAAAAGATGGGGATGTGCTGAGTAAACAGATACCAAACATGTAAAGCCTTAAAACTGTGTGCACCAGTGAAATTGAGAAACAATATAGTACCCAAAATTTTCCATAGGCAACACTTTAAAAACTTTTACACATTAGTTTAGAATTAGCTGTGATTTCTAGCCCTACAATTATATCTCATGCTCTGATTCATGGTGATACCATGCACATTTATATCTACTTACATGTGCATGCTCTGCACTGCAAGTTGTGTACACTACTGGGATGTGTACAGATGTGCTTTTAAATATTTGTTACTCTTTAAAACTTTTTTTTTTAATTTAACTTTACTGCTATCACAAAGACGAGAGTCTCACACATCAAGGCTAAATGCCCAGTGTGCATGAGGCCTAAAACATCAATAAAAAAACATTAAAAACTTACAAAAAGACATCAACAAACAGTTTGGAAAATGTGGATTTTGTTTTTAAACCCCAAAAGGCTTGTCTTATAGAGCTTGACAAGAGAGCTTTAAATTAATTAGTCAGTCAATCTGTACCTGTTCACTAAATCTTGAAGTTTTTGCATAGGCTCTGGCTCCCCATCTCTTCCACAGGTAAGTATTTCCCTTCCGTCATACACTCGAATTATTCTGTCTGCTGTATTTATCAAAAAACAGCTACACAAAAGATAAACAATATTTACTGAACTAAGTAGTAGACATACTTCATCAGAAATGTGAACTTTCAAAGCTCACTGTTAACGCTTGAACAGTAATATATGAACTTTAACTGCTCCATTTTATTCCAAACAGTTCAGCTAATGAGCAGGCAGTAGAATGGAAAAAGTTGCCAAGAACTCAGTACACAAAAAAAAAAAAAATGCTGAAAAGGAAGGCCTTTATTTCTATACTGCTTTAACCAATGTTTTTTCACATAGGAGAGAAATATATATGAAACACTGATTCTTATATAATGAAGAAATTACAAAACAATATCTGACTTCCATAATACACCAATGATAATCTGAATATAGTCAGTATGTGATACCATGATATCAACAATGCAAACCCCATCAGGAAGATTTCTACCAGGTTTTCAAACGTTTTAAAGAGACTGCAGAGCATCATATTCAGGAGTAGAGATTAGATGGCAACTGCTTTAACAACAGCATAATTCACGCTAAGTATACAGTGGAGTTGATTTACTAAAACTGGAGAGTGCAAAATCTGGTGCAGCTGTTCATGGTAGCCAATCAGTTTTGAACTTCAGTTTGTTCAATTAAGCTTTGACAAAAAAAAACAAGAAGCTGATTGGTTTCTATGCAGAGCTGCACCAGATTTTAAACTCTCCAGTTTTAGTAAATCAACCCCATTCTGTCTTCCTGGAAGACTAAAATATGAAAACGAAATTCTTTCGACCAGGAGCGGACACTCATAATCGAAATTGGAATGGTCGCCACTGAATCGTTCAAATTTCGATCCATCTATGACAAGCTTGAAGTTACGCCTGGATGGCACAATTAAGCCCCGAGAGGTTGGCTGTGTCCTCTATATGAATTTTAAAGTTCATGTTCAACCTTGTCTTCGATGTGCCTTTTATGCTGGGGTATCCATAAGATTATTTCAGCGACAAGACAACTTTAGACATACCTGTTTCTAGTGGTTGGAATACATTTGCTCTATGGCATGCAGGGCGAACCTTGAGCAAGAAGTTTAGCTTGTTATACACCCTTCTGTTGGACTTTTAATCTTTCCACTTTCCTAAATAGACAGATTCCTCGCCTAGCCAATCCTCTTATCACCCCCTCTATTTTTTCGCTCTCCTTTCCTTGCCCCTTCCTTCTTCTATTATACATCCCTCTCCTATTTTCTTCTCCCACGACTCTTGAATACCGTTATAGTCTCGGCTTGAATTTCTGTTGTATTTCAGTGGGCTGGAAAGCCAGTTGATCTTTCGTTCAACAGCTGGATTCAGAATGTATGCATACTGTACTGAAGATCTAATTATTTGCTGTACTTCATACTTTGGGCCTTTTCCAGTGTCTTGTTGTGGAAAAAATTAAAATACATAAAGAAAAAAAGATGTTTGCAGCAGGTGAAAAAACAAAAAAACATACATAATGTCTCTGGCTCCCAGTCAAGCCCTGAAAGATGGAGCCACCTATCAACCAACCAGCCAGCCACTGGATGCCAACAATTTTGTCTGGCACCTTCCTTAACTTGGAGCAGCTCTGCACAGTCAGTGCAGAGTATGCAAAAGCCAGCTATCAGCTGACTCTGCGTCACAGGAGAACATTAATACATTTTTTTTTTAATTTAAATATTTATTGATTTTTCATAGCAATAACAAAACACTTTCATCTCATTCATAATAAATATACATTATTATTTCTTATTACTTTTATTTTTCCTTCTTAAAACATTACCCCCTCCCCCCCCAGGCCCCCCACTCTGAATTCTTCACAAACTCTTATCTAAAGCAAGAATATCCTACCCATCCACCCACTCTATGTCATCCTACATTTCACTTTTTCACGTTTACTGCAGAGTTTTCCCTTTTTTCCCATTTCGCGTAATATACCTCCATCTTATCTTCCTGCATATAATATAGCTTCTCCATCTTACTAATCCAGTTCACTCTTTCTATCCATTCCTCCTCTTTCGGTACGTCTGTTTTCCTCCAATACTTAGGGATCAGACTTTTTGCAGCGTTCATATAATACCCTAAACCTAATTTCTTGTATTTACTAACTGATAGCTCTGAACTATGCAGCAAACACATCCCTGGGTCTAACCCAATATTCATCTCAGTTATGATCTCAATTAAATGTACTATTGTTTTCCTGAATATTTGAATTTTTGGACATTCCCACCAAATATGATACACTGTCCCCACTTCCCCACACACTCGCCAACACCACAGTGATTTCTCCCCACTTATCTTATATTCTATACTCGGTGTAATGTGCCATCTTATCAGACATTTATAATTTATTTCTACATCCCTCAAACTTACATTTTCGTAAACTAATCTATTTATTTTTTTCTGTTTTTCTTCATCTAATACCACCCCCATATCTCTTTCCCATTTCACTATGTGCATTGGTTTAGTGTTTGTGTCTAATTCTGTGAGAATTCTATATATTTTAGCTGTTCCGTGTTTCCCATCCCCCCGTGTATCCAACAACCTTTCAAACAAATTCCAGTCCTTTTTCATTCTCAGAGGTTTTGGGAGGTTTCCCCAAAAACAATTTAATTGGTGAGAACGCCACTCATCTAACCTAGTGAAAATCTTTCCCTTTGCCAAATCTTTAAAGGACTTCAGTTTCCCCTCCCCCATTATATCTCTTAGTTGAACATCTTTCTTTTTAAACCATCTACCTGTTATCTCCTCTCTACCTGGGGGAAAAAATTCTGTATTTCTTAGTGGCATTAATATAGAGTTAAATTCCCACTTCATATATTTGTGTATTTTATCCCATTCCCTTAAAACATTTACAGTGTACAAACTTAAATCCTCCTTCAATCCTCTATATTGTGCCGGTAACCATATAATTCTATTCAAATTAGTTCCACTGAGTGTATTTTCAATTTTTCCCAACTTTTCCCCTCAAAATTGAACGTCCAATCGAAAATTCTCCCTAATATTACTGCTTTGTAATATCTCTTAATATCTGGAACTCCCAGACCAGCCTTCCCTTTGTCTCTACTTAATATTTCATAGGACACTCTCGGTTTTTATTACTTTGAAAAAGGCTTCTGGGAGTTTAATTGGGATCATTTGAAATCTATATAAGATTTTCGGTACAATTATCATTTTTACCAGGTTTGTACGTCCTATCCATGATGGAATTCCTCTAAGGTTTTTAATTCCCCCTTCACTTCATTTAATAATGAAATATAGTTTAGTTTATACAGATTCTTATACGCCGCAGTAAGCCTTACTCCTAAATTTTTTTATATCTCTTTACTCCAAATGAAGGGGAATTCCCTTTGTATTTTCTCTTTTTCACTTTTTGGGATATTTATATTTAGGATCTCAGTTTTTGTTGGATTCATTTTTAAATTTGATAATTCCCCATATTCCTTCAACGATTTCATTAAGTTTGGGAGTGTTATCCTGGGATTCCCCACATAAAAAAGCAGATCGTCCGCAAAGGCCACCACTCTATGCTCTACATCTCCTATCTGAATTCCCCTTATATCTCCATTCTTCCTTATTGTGGACAACAAGGGCTCCAATGACATAACATATAATAAGGGGGACAAAGGACAACCCTGTCTTGTTCCATTTGACATCCCAATGGGCTCTGTTTTTTTCTCATTTACTATTACCACTGCGGAGGGCTCCCTGTACAACTTTTTAATCCATTCCCTCATTCTAACTCCGATTCCCAGAGCCTCCAAGGTATCCATCATGAAGCCCCAGTCTACTCTATCAAAGGCCTTTTCGGCGTCAATCGAAAAAACCACCGCCGGTACCTCCCCTTTTCTACTTTTTTGAATAAGCATCAGGGATCTCAACCCATTGTCCCTGCCCTCCCTTCCTGGGACAAAGCCCACCTGGTCTCCATGTATCCATTCAGGCATAAGCTCTTTCAGCCTATTCGCTAAGACCTTTGCATATAGCTTGGTGTCTGAGTTCAACAATGAAATTGGCCTATAGCTAGAACACTGTGAAGCGTCTTTTCCTTCCTTATGTAACAGTACCACGTGAGCCTGTATAGATTCTCTCCTCATGTCCATCTCTCCTCCCAGGGCATTCATATATTTCTCCAGTTTGGGAATCAATAGTTCACTAAATTTTTTTATAATACCTCGCCGTGTAGCCATCCGGTCCTGGGCTTTTCCCCGTCTCCGTGCTTTTTAGTGCCACTTTTATTTCTTCTTGTGTAATTTCTGCTTCTAGGTGGTTTAATTGATCTTCTTTTAGTTTCGGTAGACCCGCATTTTTTAAATATATCTTTCTTTTTTTCCTATTTTCAATTTCCATATTATTTACTGCGTCATAGGGGTTGATGTTATACAACTTTCTATAATAATCCATAAACACCTTTGCAATCTCCTTATTTGAATGAACCAGTTCTTCCTTAGGGATTTTTATTTTATCAATATAATTCCTATTTTTCTTTTTCCTTATGGCTCTCATTAGGTATTTTCCTGGCCTATCTCCCCTTTTATACCTCTCACTTAACACTTTGTTATAGACTCTCCTTCTCTCCTCCTCCATCAAAGTCTCTAACTCCTCTTTCTTTTTTATTATCTTCTGCTTGATTTCTTTTGCTATACTATTTTTGTGTGTCTGTTCCAGGTCAGATATATCTTTTAAGAGCCCACTAATTTTCTCTCTCCTTTCTCTTTTCTTTCTTGCCCCAATAGCAATCAGGATACCTCTTATATATGCCTTATGAGACTTGCATACTGTAGCTATCGACACATCCTCTGTCTCATTCTCTCTAAAAAAACTCTCAATTTCTTTCCCAATCTTCTGGACGGTATCCTTATCCAGGAGAAGTGCTTCATTCAACCTCCATCCTACCCCATCTGTTTTCCTCCTTCCCCATCCCATCCTCAATACAACAGGGGCGTGATCTGAAAGAGTCATTGCTCCTATGTCTACTTTAACCATTGACTCAATAAATCGATGTTCTATCAATATATAATCCAACCTTGAATAAGTCTCATGTGCATTTGAGAAAAATGTATAGTCTCTATCCTTCATATGCATAATTCTCCATGTGTCTACCAATTGAAACTCATAGATCACCTTCTTTAGTAATCTCAGAGATCTACTCCCTTCACGCTGCACAGAAGAGGTTGTATCTTTTTGTGGGTCCATACAGAAATTAAAATCCCTGGCCAATATCAAACAACCCTTTTTAAAATCCATCAGTTTTTTTAACACACCTTTCAAATACATCTCCGGCTTCTTATTTGGACAATATATATTAGCTACTGTACACTCCACCTCTTGTATTTTACCCTTCAAAAACAAATATCTCCCCTCTGGGTCCACTTTTCTATCCTCCAATTCAAATCTTATATTTTTTCTGAATCCTATTGCCACCCCTTTAGCTCTCCTAATCAGGAAATCTGCATAATACCATGTTGGATAATCTCTAGATTTTAACTTAACCTTGGATTCTATCTCAAGATGTGTCTCTTGCAAAAAAACCACTGAAGCTACTCGATGATGTAGTTCTTTAAATAGCCTAAATATCTTCCCAGGACAATTCAACCCCTTTACGTTATAAGTGATAACTTGTAGTTCTTCTATCTTGGTTATATCCCTCCTTTACCCTTCCAACCCTCCTCCTCTTTTCCCTTGCTTTAGTACCCCCCTCAATCCTGCAGAGTGTTAACCCTAGTACCAATACCCCTCCCCCCTTCCCATTTTTAGGCAACTATTATACCTACTAATCATTTGTGGGTCAAACTCCCCACCTTTGAGGTAATACTAAGGGTCAAACTCCGCCCATGGACGGCTCCTCCTCCCTCCCACCTCCCCAGTTCCCTCCATCTTTTTATTAACTCCTTAAAATTCCAGGTACCCCTTGAAAACAGAACTAAATATCATACTATGTGAAAGACTAAAGGGCAAGGAAGAAGAGAGAAAGAGAGGCATGAGAACAACCCAAAAAAAAAAAAAAAAAGCTTAGCTGAGAGCTCCTACATCAAGCCCTCCGCCAAGCTCAGGCTCCTCCGCCCAGATCGTAAATGTACTCCTTTGATCCAAAAGAAAAGTAAACCAAAAAAGGTCTGGCCCTACTTCTCTTTGAAACATGAGAAAATTGTACTTGTTGTGTTTGGATACTACTATACAAACAGCAACTACAGAACAGCAAGAAGCAACAAAATTATACAAAGCGAATTAGAGCATTTTGCCATCTGGATGAGCTGTTACCTGCCCTTTCGCGCAAACTCTATGGATTTAATAGCAGTTGTGTTGCTGGTTCCAGTTGTAACACGGAAAGATGCCACCAGATCCTGGGTGTTTGTTTTTAATACTAAAATCTGTAAAAAAAAATAATATTATAAAAGATACAATCAGTGTCCCCTAATTCAGTTTGTTTTTGTAAAGAATATACTAACTTCTAATGCATCATACCTTCCCTTTGGCATTTCCAGTATAGATATACTCTCCTCTACGATCAAAAGATGCTACTACATTAAGATCAGAATCATCATCCACAGGTAGGACAACATGGCTGGAGTCTGAGAGTGTTAGCATAACAGGGGCAGATTTCATGGGACACACTAGAACTTTATCCCTGATTCAGAAAAAAAAAAAAAAAAAAAGTATATGCAGTAAAAAAAAAAAACAAAAACGTGTTTTAGAGTTGTAATGCAATAATCAAAACAAAAGTTCTGCTTCAACACAGACTTAAGTGTGGCACACAGTATAGAAGCAGTAAACAATAAATTACAGTACACATCTACTATTACTTACTGATCACGGGGATGAAACTGAACTTTAAGTATGGGGGAAGGAAATCTAAACCGCTGGTCACAATCTCCAGACAAGACATCCCACAAAGATACTATGTTATCGGTAGAGGCACTCACAAGCTTATGACCATCCCTGCTCCAGCTGTAAAGACATTTTTAGGATGCATGAATTCAGAAGGCCTTAAAGAGTACAGCATCACAAACATGAAATATCACAATTACAACTGAAAACACTGACCAGGTTCTAAAAATACACATAAGAAGTAATTGGTCATTATCCCTAATAAGCCAAGTAAAATGTGTGGGACATTTTGTTTTAAAAATTACAGATTACTCACCATAGAGAGCACACAGGATGTATGTGAGCACTTAAGATCTTGGCAATGCCCCGTGTTAGGAAGTCCCATATAACAATACGGCCATCATTACAACCCACGGCAAGAAGAGTGCCCCACCTATTGAAGGTGCAGGTGAGGGCCATGCTAATGCAATCCAATGTTCCATCTGCTTCCTATGCAAAAAAAAAAAAAAATATAACTAATTTCCATAGATATAAAATTATGATACATAAACGAGCGCTGGAATTGTGTACAGGGAGCAGCTAGCATGAAAGGTAGAACCCCTAAACCGTCTAGAGCACATATATAAACAGCATGCAGCGCTTAAAAATATAAATATAAAAAAACCCCTAATATCAGGGTTATTCTCAAGATATGTTATACCAATATCATAGTCTCTGGGGTGGAAAGCCCCGTATAATGTATTACGGTAGGTATACCGTATAGTAAATGGCTCAGAAATAGAAATCACGTAAATGTATTAAGTGGGATGACAGTTTATAATATAAACTATGTTGGCAACGGTGACTTCAGTGGTGTAGTAAATAGGTGTGGGTTGCACTAACCAGATGAGACGTGCGAAAGCACGTTCTCAAAGGACTTTGAGTACGTGCTTTCGCACAAAACATGTCAGGAAGCGGCCCCCAGTGACTCATCCACGTGGTTTACTTGGCCAGAGGCCATCCTTGTTATCGGATCACTATATATGTGAGTGTATTTCCTTTGCATCCTGTTATACTTCATTACCTATTAGCAAATTTGCACTACGGAAATTTTTGTGCTTCGGCTCATTTCGTTATGAGCCCTGCCTTTCAAGGATACCATTGATGTCAGCTCTGTACGTTGGCTCCCCCTGGTGTTTATTCATGGTACTGCGGTGACCTGGAAGTGCTATGGAGCACTGTAATTCCAGTTTGATGCCCACCAGCTGTTCCTGAGCTCCAGACACCCAGACGCAGATGACCAGGAGTTGGTCCAAACACTCAAATGTGCTATCTGGTTAGTGCAACCCACATCTATTTACTACACCACTGAAGTCACCGTTGCCAACATAGTTTATATTATAAACAGTCATCCCACTTAATACACTTATGTGATTTCTATTTCTGAACCATTTACTATATGGTATACCTAATACATTATACGGGGCTTTCCACCCCAGAGACTATGATATTGGTATAACATGTCTTGAGAATAACCCTGATATTAGGGTTTTTTTTTTATATTTATAATTTCCATAGATAGATAATGGGAAAATCCACACACAGAGCTCCAACTTCTAATTAGAACACTGCTGTCACATTTAAAATGCCAGTTTGACAATGGGTTTAAATAGCTGTAAACCTCTGGGAAAAGTTTGGGACCGCCAGCATCCTAGCAACCAACAAGAGTGAGCAGATGCACAGCCGTAAGTGGAAAGCTGTCACATTTGTTGGCTGTAATAATACTGCCAGTAAATGTATGGCTTTCTACAGCAACCGGAGGTTCATATCAGCAGCGGGCAATCAGTATTTCAGCTTAATTAGCCAGTTCAGCAAACAGCCAGAGTTCCTGGTGAACCCTGTGTCACTGTGTACTCTTTAGTACTCTTTAAACCCAATTCCCACTCATGGGTTTGCTTTAATGTAAACATTTAACAATCCTGGGAAAATAAATTTGAGCAAATAATGGAGGAAAATAATGCATAAAGCAGGGGTTAATTTAAAGCAGAAGTATGCTTCATCTGAGCACCAAAACGCTATTTAATCCATTTTTAATACTCAAAGCAAATTCACCCTTCTATCGAAATCTCCATTCTTTAATTTGTGGGAAATCACATTGAAACTACCACTCCAGTATTTCTGGTCGTGGCCATCTCGAGTAAGGGCAGATGATACATGTAGCATTTACTTTCTGCAATCCATCTGCTCCCTAATGCATGAAGGTAAAAAAACTTCTGTTTCCAGGCCCCCTCAATACTTACCTGAGCCCAATCTCAATCCAGCGCTGTGAACAAGAGCAGCAGCTTTCTCCCCTCTCTCTCTCCTCACAGGGCAGATTAATAGCAGTGAGAGCCATTGGCTCCTGCGGCTGTCAATCAAATCCGATGATGAGGATGCAGGGGCGAGCCAGGCCCAGCTGTCTGCACCTATGAATGCAGGCAGCGAGGTTCAGGAGCGACCCCACATGAGTACTCCCCTAGGCAAGTGGCATCAGGGGGAAGGATTAATGGTGGAGGACCCCAGAAGAGGAGGATCGGGGCTGCTCTGTGCAAAACCATTGCACAGAGTAGGTAAGTATAGCATGTTTGTTATTTAATCACTTGGCAACTGCACTATAGCCAAATGACTGCTACAGCTCGGTTGTACAGTTCTGGGAGTTCTGGGAGGGTGTCATATGACGTCCTCCCAGAACGCGCCCCCAGTGAACACAGCTGATTATGTGATGCGGTAAAAGGCCAATCACAGCGGCCTTTTACCACGTGATCAGCTGTGTCCAATGACACAGATCACCGGGTAAATACAGTTGCCAGATATCGGCTGCACTTTCCTCACGCTGTTACAGCCTGAGGAAAGTACTCCCAATAACCAGCAATTGTCAGAGAACTGATCGGCACTGATGATCAGTGCCACCCACCTGTGCCCAGCAGTGCCACCCACCAGTGCTGCCCAGAAGTGCCATGCACAAGTGCTGCCCAGAAGTGCCATCAGTACCCATCATTGCTGCATATCAGAGCAGCAGCATCAGTGCCGCCTCGTCAGTGCCGCCTATCAGTGCCCATCAGTGCTGCCTTTCCGTGCCACCTTAGCAGTGCCCATCAGTGCAGCCTTATCATCGCACATAAGTGAAGGAGAAAAATTACCTGTTTGCAAAATTTTATAATAGAAACAAAGAAAAACTTTTTTTTTGCTGTTTTTTTTTGTTTATAGTGCAAAAAATAAAACACCCAGTGGCGATTAAATACCACCAAAATAAAGCTCTATTGGTGAGAAAAAAAAAAGGTAAACATTTTATATGGGTACAATGTTACAGTGCTGCATGACCGCACAATTGTCATTCAAAGTGCGACAGCGTTGAAAGCTGACAATTGGCCTGGGCAGGAAGGGGGTATAATTGCCTGGTAGGCAAGTGGTTAAAGAAAAAAAATGTAAAGGTTTAGAATCACTTTAATCATTTGCCTACTGGGCACTTTCATTCCCTTCCTGCCCGGGCCAATTTTCAGCTTTCACCGCTGTTGCACTTTGAAGGACAATTGCGTGGTCATGCAACGCTGTAGACAAATTAAATTTTTACAATTTGTTTGAGACTGATAGAACTTTCTTTTGGTGGTATTTTATCACCATCTGGGTTTTTTTTTATTTTTTGCTAAACAAACTAAAAAGAAAAAAGACAGAAAATTTTGGAAAAAAAAAAAAGTTTCTTCTGCACTGATGCTTAGCTTGCATCAGTGCAACCTATCAGTGCACTGATAGGTTGCACTGATGGGCAATGATAGGTCATTCTGAAAGTGGCACAGATGGGCACTGATGAGGAGCTAGTGATAGGACACTGACTGGCTGCACTTATAATCAGGGCACTGATCATCAGTGCCTTGAATCAGTGTAGATGTCCCCATGAGAATCACTGGTTACTGGCTCTCTGTCACAGCACATAAGGAGAAGACTGCCGATAACTGGAAAGTCTATTTACACTGCGATCAGTTGTGACTAGACAGAGCTGATCACGTGGTAAACAGCTGCTGTTGGCCCTTTACCCCTCTCTGTGATCAGCTGTGTCCAAAGGACACAGCAATCACAGAGCAGTACCGATGCGCACCCCAGGGGCAGGGTTCTGGGAGGACATCAATAGACAACCTCCCAGAACCAGCTAACCTCGCTGTAGCTGTCTTTCAGCCACATCTCGGTCAGAAAGTGGTTAATGTTTAATGGTTGAACTGGACAGACTTTTGTCTTTTTTCAGCCAGACTAACTATGTAATTATGTGGGTAGCACAGTGGTTAGCACTGTGGTGGTGGTGGTGGTTGTTAGCACTCCTACCTTCTAAGGGTGCCCAGTTTGAATCCAAACCAGGATATCTGTGTTGAATTCTCCGTGTGTTTGTGTGGTTTTCCCCTGGGTACTCTGGTTTCCTCCCAGACTCCAAAAACATGCTGCTAGGTTAACTGCTCCTGTCTAAATTGGCCATAGTATGCATGTGTGCATGCTTGTGTGATAGAAAGACCTTGGAGGTTCATCCTCTCAGCAAGTTGCAGAGAGCCTGAGCCAGCCGTTTCCTCCCCCTACACAGCCCAGCGCTCCAGTGAGCATGGGAAGGAGGGCAGAGCAGACAGCGGTAACTGACAGTCTCTCTCTGCTCACAGCACCTGTGAGAACATATGATCGCTGAGTTCTCACCCTTAGAGCCAGAAGGGGACCGATGCTATATCCACCTTGGTAAGTATAATCTGGGGAAAAAGAAGACACACTTCTCTTTTAAGTACAGCAGCATAATTAACTAATATTATAAAGTCTATAATATACAATGAGGGAAATTTACCAAAACTGGAGCAGCTGTGGTTACCATGCATAGCTGCTTCACTTTTGATACATTTCCCTCAAAGTATTCATATCTCCTGTTCTGTCTCTCTCTCTGAAAGATTCAAATTATTCCCAACTGTACAAAAATTAAAGATAACAAAACAGAATTCTGTTTTTAAAATGTAAAAAGGCATCATCTAATTGTTTTATTATGAGCTAGAATTTTATATCACTTGAATCACCAGTTAATTGGAATTTAAAATCCATATAAGTTACAAATGATGTGGAACATGCATAGAAAATAATATATGCTCACCTCTGGGTAGTTCTGTCCAAAAGATTCTGGGGGATCAAAAAAAAAAAAAAAAAAAAAAAAAGCAATTAACACAAAATTGTACACAAACAGGGATTTTTTTTTGAGTTTTGCAGAGATTTTAATAGATTGCCTTATTTTTTTTTTGTTCAGCTTTCAATCAGTGGCATGCCTGCTGTATTTGAGACACGGGGGTCAATCCACTAAGAGTTAAAATAACTCATGCGGTATATAACTTGTACTTGTGCAATTCACAGAAAAATGCACATTAAATACAGCACGAGTTACATTTTTTTATTTTGAGGTAATTAATGTGTTTTTGCACGTTATGTTATCACAGTCTGGACCGTCAGCTGCAGCGTAAAGTGA